AAACAGTGATGAAATGTGGTAGTTTGGAAAGCTTGAAGGGTGTTGAATTATCTCTTATTAAAAAGCTCGAGCAATTAGAGAAGAGATAAAATTTATATTTTATTACATTCTCAACGCGCCTTCTCACATGCATGCTTAATTCAATCTTTAATTCAAGGCTTGAAATGTGTACAATTTATAATTAGGTGATGTTAGAACTTAATTTTAGGACATCTCTGGTTTTGATGTCATGTCGAAATTATTCGCTCTTTAAAGGCTTGCTTAAGAGTTTTTTTTTTTCATAGATTTTAGATGATACCGTTTACGAGGGGTTAGAAGAATCGGTACTTGTTAGTTTTTTTGGATTACGATTTTGGATGATTTTTACCCTCTCAACCCATCAAATCGATGATTTTTTTACCATTTCTCATATTCTTTTCCAATTTTACCCTCTATAAAATAATTATTTTCAACCTGTTATAAAACTAAAGGAACAAAGAGAGATTATTAAGAGAGAAAATAGAAAGAGTCAAAATCTAAGTTTGTATTTTATTGGGAATCAATGCTTCCATATTTATAGGGTTCAAAATGAGTGTTACTATTAGGTTGCATTTGATTGCCAATATCTTCCATGGAAAATGTATTTTTTCCATCTAAATTCCTATTTTTGTTTTGTTTGATTAACATTTTTTTTTTCATAGAAAACATTTTCCTTCTTTTGGTCACGTGACCATATTTTCATTAAAATCAAGAAAAATATTTTTTAAGGGAGTAAAATTTCATTTTACTGGAAATTTACTCTCTCTTTCTCTCTAATACATTTATCCACCAATAAAAACGGACAAGTATAATATTTTGTGGGTTAAAGATTAAATCAATCAAATATATTTAATTGACAATTTTCATGCAAATAAGTTCTAGGCAATTGAATTACCTATAATTTATTTTATTTTCATGCAAATTTCATGCTTACAATCAAATACACCTTTAAAGTAGAATAAACTTTTTCAAAGTAGATATGATTTATCTAAGTATATTGATAAGACCAAATAGACATCAACATAATTTTACTTTACTCCCCATTTGATGACTATTTGCACAATAACTGGCTCACTAAAAACCTAGTTTGAAAAAAAACTCAATAGGATAAAAAAACTAAATGAAGAAAAAAAAGTACAAATAACTATAATAAAATTGGAGTAATAAAATGATGTATGGTTAACACATTGTCAAGAAAATTAAATGGACGAAACTTGAGCTCTAAGGAAAAAGTAAAATCGTGTCCCTGATTTGAATAAATGAAAATTCTTATATCAAATCATTCATGTCTTGTATAATAATGTCTTTATTATCACAATTTTCATGAAGTATGTGTCATGCATCTTGTTATAGCCTTCAAACAATATTTCTTCATACAAGATTTTTTCAACCTTTGATAGCTATAGGAACATGAAGATTCAGTAAACAACTCTCGTTGTTCTCTTCAAAAGTCTCGTACATATAAAAGTAAATTTCTTGTAAGCTATGGATATTCACTACATAAAGAATATGCAATGTTAAAATCTTATTAGAAAAAAAAATTGTAGGAAAAATCCTAATAAAGGGGAAAGAGTACATTATTCCTTCAAATATACTACAAAAATTGCCTTTTTAAAAACCTCGTCAGGAAAATCAATGGGACAAAACATTGATCAAGAAAAAAAGAGTACAACGCATATTTATTCTCCTCACGATACTATCACTTGAATAATATGCTTCAGGCATATTAAATATTTTTAAAATAGTCATGTTAAATGAATTGGCTATAATCGCATTTCAAAATTCATGCATTATTGGGATAATAAGATACGAACTTATAATTTCATTCACCTCGATCTTTATGAAATTCACTATGTTGAAAATCGTGCATTACATATTACCGTTTCATTCTTTTAACTTTCTTTTCGTATAAGTATATATTCTGATTGCAGGTCCAGGAACCTCATATTTCTCTAGCAAGTTCAATTTTACTAGATTTGCATCCTTCTATTTGTCAATCATTATTTCGATCGATATACTTCAACAAATTTATTTCGATGTTCTTGCTATTCATGATATGACGCGATACATCATCTACAAAATTATTGCAGCAACTTTTTCTTTTCGATTTTATTTCTTTTTAATAGAGACATAACTTAGCGATGTATTTCCATTTTCAATATTTTAAGTAACTGAACCTCTTTTGGGATTTCATTATAATTAGTTATGTCTATATGTTCTCCAAGAGGTATATGCCTCCAAATGGAGTCATCTTCTTTATTTGCACAAGTTGCCTTTAGAGATTTTTGTCCTAGAATGGAATGTATTTACGCTTCAGGCATGCTATAGATATTCATTATAATGTTAACGAATTGCCCTCACATGACGTCAGTTCGAGTTGGAGCATTTAAGTCTGATATAGAGATATTGTTGATATATTTTATTAGTAAAAGTATCTAAATAAAATATTATTATTGATCCAACAATGGTGTTACTGAACACGCCAAACAATAAAATATTACAATTATTGAACTTCTGATTGGCTACATTGTTTGCTCAATTGTACTAATAATGGTATAGTAAAAACTAAAGAAGGCGAGTATATAGTATTCACTCCTTAAGAGCTTTACAATCAAATTTACGAAATTCAATATTATATTGTATTGATTTTCATCATTTTCACATTTCCTTTCAATAAGTCACATGAGTTTAGTTGGATGCTTGTACGTACTACAGGTATATTACACACATCTCATGATCTAAATATTAAATAAGATCATAAATTTTTTCGAATTAATAAACTTAAAGTTTGTGATAATATTTGATTCGAATGATCCTATAATTTTTTAGAAGTGTGCTTTTTTGAGAGCATTATTATAATATTATTTGAGAATATTGGTACGCAATGCCATGATATATATATATATATATATATATATATATATATATATATAAACAATATTCTTAAAAAATATTAGTATATAAAATTTTATAATTATTTATAAATGACAAATTATTATTCTAGAATATTAATATGTAAAAGTCGTTCTTTGAAATAACCAAATATTCTCTTAGAATAATAAATTATTGGCATATCAGGTGCTTTCCACGAGTTTTAACATATTTATCAAAGCCAGACTTATATAAAGTTAATCTCGAGACTAATAAAATATAAACTCTTCTGGGACCTTAAATAAGATTTGTGATGTCATATTTAGTTATATTTCTTCTAGAGCAATGCAATATTTTTCCTTTTCAAAATATTGATTTCTATAAATTGTTTCAAATGATTCTGCGATATTCTTCTAAAATATTTAAAAATTTGAATCGACTTTCATTGTAGAACAACAACTAATTATTATTCAAACATATTAATTTAATATAAAAGTATGCTTTTTATGAATAAATATGTCAATAATCTTCCGAAATATTAAAATTGAAATGTCACGGTCTTAAGGAGCAAATAATATTCTTTCAAAGTAGTATAATGCTGTATTTCTTCGAGAGTAACAACAAATTAACATATCAATTAAATATGTACAACAAATACATTCTATATTGTGATATAACATGTCAATCGAGTACCAGTGTAATGATTATAATCTATACATAATAATCAATTAAAGAAAAAGTGACAATTTATCAATTGAAATTGATAGGTGGATGCATGTTCTAGAATAATTATTTAATGTAATTATGTAATTTGTGTAATGAAGATAATATGCAATTCTTATATCGAACAACCAATTCAAAAGATATATAAACTTGTGGATATAAATTCTGTATGTGGCATTTCAAATTATATACTTTGACATTAGGACCATCGATCAATGAAAATTATTAAAATTTGGATACTTTTCACATATAGATTTCTCATGAATGAACTGTTGAATTTTAATCATAATCGTTGGATTTGAAGAACAATGAGTTGTGATATTCTGTCCAAATTTCATAACGATTGGATCACGAAACACTGAAATATCAACATTTGGATTAAAGCTACATAGACACTCTAGATCCTAGGAATTCTACAATGTTGACATCGTTTTTCTCTCTATTTTGGATTTTTTTTAAAAATTTTTTAGGTATCAATAGCATGTTAGAAAATTGAAGAAACATAAATTTACAATGCAACCAACGTATTTTGTTCATAACTAACTCATAAATATAGATACAGTAACTACAAAAATTATTTATAAGCAAAAAAATGATTTTTAAGTAAAAAATTAATTATAAGATGAAAAATTAATTCTGTGTAAAAAAATATTTATAAAGTAAAAAATAATAATAAGATAAAATTCAATAAAAAGTTACTTATAAGAAATTCACCTATGTTTAAATATTATTTGAAGGTACAAAATTACACCTTCTAAGTTAAATATTAACTTATAACTTTATAAGTAAAATGTCACTTATGAGAAAAATTTCATAAATTATAAATTGAACATTTTACTAAAGGGTATATAGGTAATTTTATTCTTTAAAAAAAAAAACTTTCAAAATCGATGAATAGTAAACTTCCAGTGATGGATAGAAATTTTTTTTAAAAAATTGTTATTAAAATCATTTAAAATTGAACCATTCATAAATGTTCAAAATCGATACTATAGAAAACGCTCATAATCGATGCCCAAAAACTCCCAAACAAGCACTTAAACATTTAGAAAAACATATGCAAGTTCCACAAAGTAACTTCATAAATTTAATGTAGTTAATTTTTTTGAACTTCTCACAAAAAGAAAAGTAGAAGAAATTAACATATGAAAAAATAGAGATGGTCGAAATGTCAACAAATCACATACAATGAACAAGCTTTGGGAGACAGAGAAAAGGAAAATCGAATAAAAAGCAAAATGCCAAAGTAAGAAAGACAGATTTTTCACTAGTAAAAAAAAAAAAAAAATAATTAAAACCGTGCATGTCGCTACCACTTTGAGAGTTTTAAACCACAAAAATGAGAAAAAGAAAACTTGTGTTCTTTGATTCTTCTTTTTCCAAATCGGCTAAAATGTCCAAGTCTCTTGATTCAAGTATTAACGACAAAAAGCAATTTTTATTTTATTTTTTATGCCGTTCGAATTAAGTTTATCACATCTTTGAGGGAAAAAAAGGTTTTGTTTATACTTTATAGGATTCACTGTAAATCTAAAATTTAGGTTGGATAATCTTAATTTAATTTTACTATTTTAAGATTTTTTCCTTTTGATCCATGTCGAAATTGCTCACTGGTTTCTCTCTGTCTTATTCTATCAGTTTATTTAATCCACCCTCACATCGCAAACCCAGCAACAATTTTATAATCTTGCTTTAAATGAACAGAATTTGTAATTTTCTGTAGTAAAATATAAATCAATAATTTTTACTCTCTGTAAATGTAAATTCTTGTACTAAATTTCGACATATAGTACAAAGTTAAAAGTGAAAAGCTTTTATTTACATATATAAAATAGTTGATACCCATCTTCTATTCTTCCACCTCAGCCAGTTTCTTCCTCTGACACCCATCTCTCTTTCTTTCTCTGTAAGTCCCTCTTCATTTTCTCTCTCTGGTTCTGATTCTAGTATATAATTAAAAAAGTTTGATATGTGTTATGATTTCAAGAATGCATTTTTCTTGTTTTTTTTTCTTTTGTGGGTCTTTAGAACTTAGCTTGTTCATTGTAGAATTGTTAAAAAATTGGAATTTTATTTTATTTTATTTTTTGTTTTTGGATTTGGGTTTTGGCTTAAAAATGCTGTTTTTTCACTTATACTGACGTGCATGTTTGAGTTTAAGTTTCTTGGGACTTGATCTCTTTTTCTTGATCCTCAATCATTTTTTTTTTTTTCAATTTTTTTAATCTTTAAGTTCACCGCTATTTGAATTACATGCAGTAATATTTACAGTGTAAATCTGCAAAAGTTTGATTGTGGTGAATGATTTATATGAACCTCGAACTTTGATTGTAATTGGGGTGTATAATTTTTCTAGATCTTTTGACGTTTGTGATCATTATTTTGTGAAATTGTAGTTTATTCAATTTAATGTGAATGAGCCGTTCTTATTTCGCTATATTAAAAAAATGTGGTACCTAATTGTGTTTTTATTTAATTGAACATGTTTTTAAAATATAAATGAATAGTGGTTAATACTTATGAATTTCTCGAAATATGTAGATAAAAAGTGTATAAAATATTTATAAACATCAGCCCAACATAGGCATATTATGAGTACTATGTAGCTTCAATGCTTAATTAAGTTTTTAGTATGGAGTTGATTTTGCATGATTTTGGTTAGTTCTTAGGACTAAAAATAGGTTTTTTCTTTTCCCCCCCTACCATTTGTGAATATAGTGCTTTTATAAGAATGGCTCTCTCTCGGGATAAAAAGGATGGAAGAGAGTTGAGAATTCACGAAAACATGGACGAGCTAAGTACCAATTTGGCAGAATATATTGCAGAATTATCCGAGGCTTCTGTAAAAGAACGGGGTGCATTTGCCATTGCTTTATCTGGTGGTTCTGTAATTAGCTTGGTGAGGTATGTAAGTGCATTTGTTACCTGCATTTGTCACCTATCATTCTCCTTTTCATAAAGCATTTGTTATTGTAAGCAGAAAACTCTGTGAAGCCCCTTTCAACAAGACTGTTGAATGGGCTAAGTGGCATATATTTTGGGCTGATGAGCGTGTCGTAGCAAAAAGCCATGTTGATAGCAATTATAAGCTACTTAAAGATAATCTTTTGACCAAGGTATCTTTCTTGATTCTAGGGTACTTTATACAAATTATCTGCCTCTTCTGTCACCTGGTGATTTCTGAAATTTGTTGCTGGTTCATAGTCATCTTCTGTGATTAACGTGGACCCAATCTGTACTATTCTTGCACTCAGACTCCTTGATTTGTTAAGCTGGCATAATTTTTTATCCGCTTTTGTGGGTTCTCTTCTTTTAACGATTCTCTATAAATAAAATGGAGATCTTGCATTGTATAAAGTTAAGTGGCTGATGCAAATAGAATAGATCTGGCCATATGCAATTTATGACGCTGAACCAGCACCCACTTTAAATCATTCTAGGTGGTATTTTTCGTCATATCTTGAATTTGTTAAAAGAATGAACTTTTCTTGTTGGTGTGCATTGTGGGGTTCAGGGATGGGGCAGATCAGCATACATGAACTTATGAGGGCCTCGGCCCTCTTATTTTGGCAAAACTTTACTTGGCATCCTAAAATTATACTAATAATATTGCTGAAGTAATCCATTTTTGTGTGCCGATTTTGTGCTTAGAACTATTGTAAACTGAATAATCCCATGAATAGAATAGGTACTTTGTGTTTTCTTAGTGTGGTGTTATACTCAAATTATCAGTTTCTTTGTTACATGTAAGAAGAATAATCATCAAAGTTTACATTTCTAATTGTGCTAAAACCAACACAAATTGTGACTGATGTCTTAAAGTTTAATGTTATAGGGGGTTCATGTTTTATTTTATTTTTTATTTTTGAAAACATAGCTGTGGAGATGTCTTCTTCTATTATTGCACTCTCGTTTTGCTACCTATTGTTGTGCCATTAGTGTGAAAATGATATTATGCCATTTCAATCCTTACCTATTCCATATTCATACAAAACCATCTTTATGTCAGTTTTCATGATGCTTTTGTATTACATGTTATCATGTCAGCATCATTTTCTTGAATTTCTCCAAATTCCACCCACAAAGATAAAAATGATGAATTTATTAAGAAGTGGTTTGTAATCTTTTCGCTGATATGACACTTACGATCTACCCCTCCTCTAGTATGTCCTATTGTGATTGACTCACGCTAATGAAAAGGAACCTCCTTAGATCTACATAAACACGTTTTTTCTTTCTTTCTTTCTTTCTTTTTTTTCTTTTTTTTTTTCCCATCCAACTTCCTAGACTATAAACTTCTGATCTTGAATATTTCTAACCTCTTCTTGGTCATAGGGTAACATGATTTTCTTGAGGTAGTAATAGCTCACCACAAGTACCTGANGATCTTGAATATTTCTAACCTCTTCTTGGTCATAGGGTAACATGATTTTCTTGAGGTAGTAATAGCTCACCACAAGTACCTGAAACAAAGTATATGGCAATAATGCAAGATAAATAGATTAATTACACAAAACCAAAGCCTAGTTCAAATCGTAAGAGTTTGCTCTTACCAGGTCATTGGCCTGAGTTTGAGTCTTTTTCTCTGAGAGGGTGGGGAAGAGTGAAATTCTCGGAAAAAAAAGAGAGAGAGAGAGAGAGAGAGAGAGAGAGAGAGAGAGAGAGAGCAAATAAAAGATCGTAAGAGTTTGCTCTTACCAGGTCATTGGCCTGAGTTTGAGTCTTTTTCTCTGAGAGGGTGGGGAAGAGTGAAATTCTCGGGAAAAAAAAAGAGAGAGAGAGAGAGCAAATAAAAAAAAAGAAAAGAAAAGGTTGAGATACACAAGCAATCCTAATGTTAAGATTTCTGGGCCCCTGGCATTTGTGAATCCTTAAGTTTCAACTTTGCTAAGACAGGATGATTGCCCCTCATAGAGTAAGGGGGGAAATAGAAGTCTGTATGCATTTTTTTTTTCCCATCCAACTTCCTAGACTATAAACTTCGGATCTTGAATATTTCTAACCTCTTCTTGGTCATAGGGTAACATGATTTTCTTGAGGTAGTAATAGCTCACCACAAGTACCTGAAACAAAGTATATGGCAATAATGCAAGATAAATAGATTAATTACACAAAACCAAAGCCTAGTTCAAATCGTAAGAGTTTGCTCTTACCAGGTCATTGGCCTGAGTTTGAGTCTTTTTCTCTGAGAGGGTGGGGAAGAGTGAAATTCTCGGGAAAAAAAAAGAGAGAGAGAGAGAGCAAATAAAAAAAAAGAAAAGAAAAGGTTGAGATACACAAGCAATCCTAATGTTAAGATTTCTGGGCCCCTGGCATTTGTGAATCCTTAAGTTTCAACTTTGCTAAGACAGGAGATGATTGCCTCATAGAGTAAGGGGGGAAATAGAAGTCTGTATGCAATATTTCACGTGGACTTATGGAGCCATTATTTGAGGCAAAAGTTTTGTTCATCTTCAAGTTCAAAAATTGACAAGGATATTGATTGTTTTAATAGGAATTATGATCTTGATATGTTCTTTGTTTGGTAGAGAAACATGTCATGTTTGGTAGGGAAGATTGGATGACACTCAACATTAGCAAATAAGAAAAAGAAATTCAAACCTTGTTCATTGTAGTGTCCAATCAAGTTTAGCATACCAAACATACACTTCCTACATATTTGGTATCATGTACTAGACAGTGTAATAAACAAAATTTTTAACTTCTTCCTTGAATAATGGCTAATGCTATCTAGTGCCATCTGATCCTCCATATCAAACATGCCTTAGTGAATAAAAGTAGTCACTGTCATGAACCTGTTCTTTTACATGGAGTTATGCTTGGTAAGTTAGCTCTGGTCTGGTATTGTGTCGTGTTTATGGCAGTCTCATGTAGTTCTCTGCACATGATGTTGCCAATCGGTTTCTTTTTAATTCAATAGCTAAAACTGGCACTACAAAATGAGTTTACCTCGTTATTGGCCAATTTTGGGAGTATCTTTAATAAACTTCTTTAATGTCTTCATCAGACTAATTTACTCCTAGTAGCATGAAAAAGAAAAAAGAAAAGAGTGGTCGGAATTTCTAGTATTTGATGTCTGTCTGGAGTTGGGCAATTAATTTGTCTGGAAATGTAACTTCGACTCGAAGAACAGCTACTTGGAGTGGTAATAATAACACACCTTAGGTCTGCCAGGAGTAAAATTCCATTCAGAATTCTTATTTGCTGATTTTTGAACTGTTCAATAAGCTTTAACATTAGGATTTTTGCTGGCTAACAACTATGTTCAAGTTTTGTATTCCAAGTATTTTCTTTCAGTCCTCCGAATAGGATTAGCTGAATGGATGCTTGTAGGAAAAGCCTATTTCCACTTCTTTGACGTACCCATACCAAGCTCTATATACCAATAAACCCTGTAAATTATTGCAATTCTTTTTGAAAATGTAAACAAAAAACAGAACTGCACATTCTGTTGTTTTTTCACAGTTTTTGATTTGCCTTCTATTTATTTTTAATACAAATGAGAATCCACCTGCTATTTAATTTCTCCTATGATCACATTTTATGGTTGTAGGTGTCTTTTTCCTTTTTCAGCCTTCAAGAAGATAAAACATAAGATTACTTTGCATTTCCCTATTTGTATTCGAGTCCCTTTTTTTTGTGAGTCTCTTACGTACGTTATTATTGAGTAGAATACATCGTTCATATTTGATGAAGCTGAGACGTGAAATTGGACCTTGCAGTCGATGTTTTCAAATATATCTTTTATTTGCCTGTGTATTTTTAAGTGAACATGTTTGCCATTTCAGGTTCCTACTGTTCCCGGCCATGTTCATTCTATCAATGACACCGTGACAGCAGAACAAGCTGCGGAGGAGTATGAGTTTGTCATCAGACAGCACGTTAGGACTCGTGTGATCGATGTATGTGAAATTAACGACTGCCCAAAGTTTGACCTCATCCTCCTTGGAATGGGGCACGATGGGCACATCGCATCCCTATTTCCCAATCACTCAGCGCTCGATGAGAAAGAACTATGGGTAACATTTATTACTGACTCGCCCAAGCCTCCGCCCGAGCGAATCACTTTCACATTGCCAGTTATAAACTCTGCTTCTAAAGTTGCTGTAGTTGTTACAGGTGGCAGCAAAGCAGAGGCTGCCCACCTGGCTATTGATGATATCGGGCCCGATTGTCCAGTACTACCGGCGAGAATGGTGCGCCCAACTGAAGGCGTGTTGGTGTGGTTTCTTGATCAAGCAGCTGCATCGAAACTCGATGGTGCAATAGGTTTTAGTACTTGTGGAAGTGGAAGTCTATGTATGTAGTGGAGGGATACTGGTACTTGTTTTGCATTAGGGCCTTTTTCTTTCTTGTGGATCTCTTTTCAAGGAAGGAAAAAGAATAAAATGCAATGAAAACGAAAAAGAAAAAAAAAAAAATCTACCTTTTCTAATCTTTATTTGCTTTCTCTATTCATTAGAAGGATTTGTCAAGTTCCTTCTCTTGGAGAAAATAGTAGTGTTAGCTGATGCTTAGGAGCTAGGGATTGCTAGGTTGGTGGTGACAATACTAGATATAATTGATGAACAATGAAAAGAAAGTTGGAATATTGATTGCTATCCTCATAGTATAGCCTATCTAGTAATGAATATAAAATGCCTTTGGAAGAATTTGAGATAATTTCTTTGATTTCTAGAGAAGAATGGACGGGTTGTGTCAAAATCTCGACCTCCTCAAGGAAATAGATCCACAAGTAAACGAAAAAGGACAATTAGACAACCTAGAGAACTTATTATCGTCTTTATAAAGAGTTGTAATTTAGAAAACGATGGCCTAGAAATGAACAGAATAGAAGTTAATTGATACAATGAACGTCACTTGTGATATTCTTCTCTTTGAAAGAACAATGCCACCTATCATCATTCAATGACAGTGAATGCCTTGATTCATTGTTCAATGAAATTGTAAAACATTAATGCATAATGAATCAGGACGTTCACCGTCACCTAAACTAATGATGATCGCATATAACATTATCCTTCTGAAAAATTTAAGATTTAACCAAAGTCCCTTTTTAACAAGGAAAAGAAAACTAAAATCATTCTATTATCAAGTGAGTACAAGATTCCAGAAGTCTGAGAATTCTTAATTAATAATAGAATTGATGCGACTTTAAGAATTTTCCATTTTGATTCAAGTGGGGGAACATGCACGTCAATTTCATACGCTAAGACAAGGCATTAGTTATTTTTGGGGTAATTTTTAGAAAGGCTGGAAAATTGTTCTTATTTTCCACAATGGCCTTTTTTATAAGCAATACTATTTTGCCCTTATTATAATTATTTGCAAGATGTATCTTATATCTTTAAGGATTTATCAATCAGGACCTATATCTATATTTTTAACATTTCAAACACCTTTAAATATTCTTTGTATTTTGATAGTTCTTCAAAGATTATAGGTTGACCTTTCTTGGTTATATATTCTCGAACTAATCCTTCTGAAATTTTTTTTTGTATATTTTTATGTTTGGTTATGATATCTTCTACCTTTCTTATTTCTCTACTAGTTCCTATAGAATCAAATCCTATATTATTTCTACAATTATAATCTATATCTCTATATATTTTTTCAATTTTTTCTTTACCAACAGGAAATATATCATCAGATTTTTCGTCTAATTTAAGTAAAAACGAAACATCTTTTTCATCTAAAAATAATATGAGATTATTATCATTAGTGGATGTGGATGCTTGTTAATTGTTCATCAGAATAATTAAAACATAAGCATGTAAAAATAAGTAAATAACTTACAGTAATCAAGTGGAAATAAACAGGCTTTCCCTCTAGTATGCTCTTATATATGCTTTGCATGTACTTAATCAATCTTCTGAATCAAGTAAAGATGCTTCCGCAAAAGGCTTTTCAATTAAGGTTGCATTTCTCATTCTAGAGAACTAGTCGTGTTTCCACAGGCGCTATCTCACAGTATCCAGAGTCTCTGTTTTCACCTCTATCCAAACTCTTTTCAGAATCAAGTTCCTACTTGGAACGAAATTTTAAAAGATAACTCACACACAAGGTGCTACAAATTTTTGTTAGAAAACTGCCTTTTTCCCTAAACCATTCATCAAAGACGGGTACTTTGGTATGGCTAACATCCATTCAAAATCAAAGTTTTGAAAATCTTTTAAAATCTCTATCTGTACTGCCGAGGAATCATGAGAAATTTAACGAAATCCTTTTATGAAAACTTTGTTTGAACATAACAAACTTTACTTTGATATTCATAAACTAAAATTGTACATGCTTACAAACTATATTTACATACCTTTGGTACTCACCTTATGAAGTTTAGAACTCCATAAGTGATTACCTTATTACACGCTTTTCTATTTTCAAGCTATCTAATATTTTTCTGAATACAAGTGGTGTATCAGATTACAAAAGATCTATCTAAGATGTGTTTCCTCTAAGCGTTTTAGAGATAAGCTATTTCGAGATATCCTCATTCTTCCTTCTTACCTCCTTTTATAGAAGTCTTTGGGAATCTTATTTTGACAGGTGTTTTCCACCTTTCTTTGTTGGGTAGCTAAGTCATCTTATCTCCACCGAATTTTTCCATTATCTTCTTGCAAGTGGACCTCTCCTTTTGAAATTAGATGCCTTATCTTTTGAGTTTGTCTGCCACTTGTAACAATTGGTGGGGGTAGTTACAATTATGGAGACTTTTCTTGCACTATCTTCTGTCTTTTAGTAGCCACAGTTTTTATTTAATAAGTTTCTTTATTAATGTAGTGATAAAAGGTTACTTTAGTCACCATCACTTTTCCATTTTTGATTCAAAGAATTCTGCGGGGAATTCTTCATTATTAAGGGATGCTTGACTCATATCTTCAACTACACAGTATTCACAATGGTGATCACTGTAATTCCAAAGTAATTTGCATAATTCTTTAGTCATATCTTCTGATCCATGCACTTGATTGGAAATAATTGCAGATAATAAATGGTCGAGATAACAAATATCTTCTTCTTTGGTAGCCATCCTTGCATTGGAATAGATAATATGATCTTCAGATGGATAAACCCATATTTTTTCTTTCTCAGTGATAATTTGAGTTACATGTTCAAATATCTCTTTGTACCCTTTTGCTCTTCTGTAGGGCATCATATTTAGAATATCTTGATATCCATTTTTAACAACATTTTGATTGGTTAGTAAAAAATGTTGATTTATAAGTCTCATTTTTATCACATGGAACGATGGATGCATATATTCAAGAACGGGATCCCATTCCATGGTTGCTGAATGGAATCTGATATATATATTTGTTGTCTTGACGATTTCAGTATATCTTTTAACAGCTTTCCTAATGTTGGATGGAAGTTGAGCTATCTCTTTGAGATCTTTGCTAGGATATATACATAGTATATTTCCTATCTCAAAACAATTTAGAACCCAGTTGGCTGGTGCTCCTGGATAAAAAATTATTTTGTTGTATTTTGAATAATGGAGAGTCTTCATCCATTTTCCAATCTCCAGATACCAATCTGATAAAATATTAAAAATAACAATAAAGAGTGTTACTTCTTCATGGTTATCTTTTCTGGAAAATTTTGTTTCATGGCATATCTTGACAATATCTTTTGGATCTATCCTTTCAATAGAAAGTTTATATTGAGTTTGGCTCTGTGAATAGCTACCTTCTCTTTTGATATCTTGAATATCTTTATTACCAGTAATAGGTTCAAGTTTTCCCTATGAAAGGGTTCCTATTACCTTCTTTTCTTTCCCTTTATCCTCGGGGAGAGCGCTAGTATTCACAAGTCCCTGTGAAGGGATACTAGACTTGGAACAAGTAACTTCTGCCTCAAGGGTTATATTTTGCCTCGAATGCTATCTTCGATATTTTGAATTTGTATTTCCAAATAGGAAACTTTTATCTCAATTATTTGGACTTTCGTCCTTAATTATTCCAGCTCCATCCCTGCTAAGATAATCAGGAAGAAAGTTAGTTTTACCTTTTATGTATTCTATATCAAATTTAAAATATGAGAACCTTATTTGTATCCTAATAATATATCTATTGGTAATAGATGGATCAACATTATTTTTCAAAAATGCTTTAACTTGAGTATTATCAGTTCTAATCAAGAACTTCTTTGGTAATAGATGATCCTCATATTTCTGAACTCCTCTTTTCACAGCAATGAGTTCTTTTCTATTTGTCTCATATCTTGTTTCTACTTCTTTGAATGTTCCTGATGTATAACCTGCAAGTATCTCAGGACAAGAACAATCTTTTTCACATTTATATTCTTTATGATTCTTTTTTACCTTTAACACTGCTCCCCAGTAATGATCTGAAGCATCAGTTTCAAGAATAAAGAAATCTTCTTCTTGTGGTATTACAAGTTTGGGCAATACTTTTAACTCTTCATTAACTTTCCTTATATTTTCACAATCTTGTTCTTCCCAAGACCACAAATATTTTTTCTCAATTTTGGAAGAAAATAATTTTTTAATTTAGCACAATTTTCAATGAATCTTTTAGCATAATTTAATATACCAAGAAAACTTTGTAATCGTTTCTTATTTTTGATTTCTTCAGAAAATTCTTGAAATTTTTCTCCAATATGAGATTGCAGTTGCAATTCTCCTTCTTTTACAAATAATCCTAAAAATTCTATCTCTATTCTAGCTATCTCAACTTTCTTTTGAGAAAGTGTAATACCATGTTTTTTCATAATATAACAAAATTTCTCAAGATGTTCAATATGTTCATCAATATTATTTGAATAAATAAGTAAATCATCAACATATACAATACAAAAATGAGTAATTGGTTTAATTATCTCATCCATTCTCCTTTGAAATATCTGTGGTGCATTTTTCAACCCAAATGGCATTACATTTCATTCGTATTGTCCTAAAGGATTGGGGGTACTAAATGCAGTTAGTGGTTTACTTTCTTCTGTAAGCATGATTTGCCAAAATCCTGACTTACAATGAAATTTTGAAAATATCTTTTTATTCTGTACTTATTTAATAAGGGTGTCCTTATTTGGCAAGTAGTATCCATCAAACTTAGTAACTTCATTTAATTTCTTGTAATTTATCACCATTCTGGCTTTTCCTCTTTTTATCTCACTATGTTTTCTAACCATAAAGGCTGGGCTGCTATGTAGACTTTTACTAGGCCTAATTAATTTGGCTTCCATCAATTCTTTTATCTGGTTTTTAAATTCTTTTTGGTCATCAACATTATATTTCATGGGTTTGACTCTAACAATAGTGTCTGGATTTGTTAATTCTATCTTTGCCTTTATTTTATCAGCATTTCATTTTTCTAACGGATTTTCAGAATATGTTTTAGAAATTTCTTTTTTCAATTTTTCTAATTTATTTTCTGTTGTCATTTTTAAGATTGTAACTGGTTTAAATTTTTCTATACTCCAACATCCACCACGCTGGGTTGAGGAACTCTGATGGTTTATATCTGTATATGCTATTGTAACAGCTTTATTTATTTTTGGTGTAAATATTTTATGTGCACAAGGTGTTGTAAACATATACTTATCAATATATTGTGTAAATGGTGCATATTTTAATAGGAAATTTTGTCCTAATAAAATATCACATTCTATTGTGGTTGATATATATATTGTATCAACAAATACTTCTCTAAAAGAAATTAGAAAAGGTACTTGCGTAGCATATTTACTATATATTACCTTATTTCCACCTGCTGTTGTAGCGGTGACTATCTTCTTTGAATTGTATATCCAGTATTCAGATGGTAGTACATTTGGTAAGTATAAGCTTATTGTACTTCCTGTATCTAAATAAGCATGAAATTTAATTCTACAATAACTTTTTATATTAAGTGTAATTTCAATATATGGACTCATGGGGTTAGTACTTATTACTCTTTCCATGATAACAATGATTTCATATTTTCATAATCCTTGATATGATGATTGGGTTATCATCAACTGTTATTTTTAAATATCCTTGACAGATTTTATAAGGACTATATTTCTTAAAAAAGTTCATTCCTAATAGAATAGGTGAATGATCTACTCCATATAATTCATCTTTATATAGAATTATTTTTTTAGTATATTCTTTCTAATCCTCTCCTATAAGTATAAAAGGGAACTTAACATATTTTCTTATTTCAAGATTATTTCCTAAATAATCTTTAAATATATATGGTTCTGGTA